GAAGGTCACCTGCTGTGGTCTCCATGATCATGGCACGGAGAGGAGTGGCTAAAACAACAACCACAACAGACAGAGAGGAATCACAAGTCAGGCAGAAGAAATCAGAGAGGGAGAAATCCCAGCAAGTGTAAAAAACCAGCAGAAGGAAAAGCTCAGCAGGATTTCCATCTACGAGGATCCACAGAAAACAGTTTATTCACAGAACTCTGTAAATGCTGACTTTCCTCAGTGCTGCTGTGCTCACCCTGAATGGACAGGGCTGCAGGACAACGCCACATTGTCCAAGTTCTCTGTGCCCCAGCTCAACCGGTACGAATCCCTCTCAGTCTCCCTGGCAAGCAATGAAACCTGGAATGAAACAAACTTCTTATCAGACACCAGATAAACAATACCCATGTCATCTAGGGCATTGAGAAGATCATGGGATATACTTGCTCCTGAATTTGACAGAAATATAATCCCCATACAAAACAGCAGAACCGTGGGTGGAGGAGTGGGTCGGGTGGGGTTGCAGCCCTTCTTTGATCCATCCTCGTCTTTATCATACTCACATATGAACAGTTTAGACCTAAAACCCCACTAACTGCATGTCTTTGGAGTGTGGGAGGAAGTCAGAGTACCCGAGAGAACCCAGGAAGACACAAGGGGAACATGCAAACTCCACACAGAAAGGGTCAGAGGTCGCCTCCAGGCTGGATGAATGGACTGGTGCTTACACAGAATTCCTGTAACTAAATCATCCAGGTGCTAAACATCCTCACACAACATCTTACTCACAGATTGGTGTGCAGACTAAAGTAGCTGACAGAGGGGTTAACAGTACAGCCACAGCCTGAACGTCACTGTCATAGTTCCCAACCGTTAGGTTAACATCGCCCATCGTTTAAAAATGCACAGAATTAGTGATGTGTGATGATGCAGCGTACCTGGTGACTGGTGAGCATCTCCTCCATCATGCCTTCATGTTTAGAAGAGTAGTAGCTGTGGTGAGTGGGCGTGAAGGACCTGTCTGAACTGGAGCACACAGGAAAAACACGAGCATGAAACAAGCTCACGATGTCAACCCAGCAGGAAATTCATAATCTTTTCTGTTCTCGAGTCGGGATCAATGTCCAGTAATCAGGTGGTGAACAGTGTGTTCAAATGCTAAAACTGAAGTGTTTAACAGCAGCGCTGCTGGACACACAAACACAGCAGCCAAAGCATCTGATCTGTTTGTTACACACGTCTGGAGGCCGAGCTCAGGGAGCACAAACACCATGTGTGCATGTCAACACGTGCCTAATTTTCCAGGGTTCCTGTGGTTGTTACGGACATGAGATTCTGGTTTACCCGTGTAGTCACCAGTGCTCTCCCAGCTTTATAAAGCACCAACGGGAATACGAAGCTCTTCATCTGCTTAAAGCGACCTGGGTTTGACCTGGGTTTGACCTGGGTTTGAGCTGTGGGTCCAAACAGAGGATGAGCTGCAGCAGAGTTACTCTCTGTTATCAGTTCTGCTTTTGATAGAGTAGATCACAGCCTTCAGACTAGACTGGAACAACATGTTGGAATAAAAGCGATTGTTGTGGTTT